TTCCAGCCGAGGTTTACAGGGGGTAGAAGCCTCAGAAATGATTATAATTCTTATAAATTTCATGGAAGTAACTACTTCCAGGGAAATAAAACCCCTGTAAATGTGATGAAGCAAATCAGAATTTGTAACTGACTGTGAGACACAGGCATGTGATACTGAGTATCACGAGGATCACTCACGCAAGAAGCAGTCGTGTTTTCTGATACTGGTCCATGTGGAAAAGTGTGAATCAATTTTTGCTCCCATAGCTCAGTTTGCTAAGCTTTCATGCCATATTGCCTAATTCTTAACATAACAAGAGATCCTTAACACAGCCTTAGATCCTTAAATGCCAGAAGCAGGAAAAGGTTGGGATTTAGCAAAGTCATACGGCAGCGATCAGACCTCCTTGACGGATCATGATGCGAGTCAAAGGTGGGTCCTGATTTCAGTCCTTATACCTGGAATATTTGGGAATATTCCCCATATAATACAGAATATTTCAATAGCCATTAGCAGAAAAAAAAACGAAGCAGTCTGATTGGGCTTCTAAGATCCCTTGGTACTAATTACTCTAAATAATTTCTAAAGAAATGAACTTAGTAGAATCACAGAATTCTCAGGATTCGAAAAGACCTTCAAGATCACTGAGTCCAACCATAAGCCAAGTAGTACTGAAGACATTGTCACATCTTGGAGAGTCTTCTTGACTCCGTTCTTCCTAGGGCCAGGGGAAGCAACCAGAGGGTATCTGGGGTCCTCTGAAGCACTCAGAAGCATGCATTAGTAACCTGAGCTACAAGTTCTGTGTTAACACTCATTACTCAAAAGGTCTCATGAATGACCAGTGGAGTTGAGAAAATCTCAGCACAACTCAGATTGTTTGTTAAACGATCGTGCAAGATATTTCCTGACATCAAACCTCTTTGGAAAATGTCAGCTACTGCACTCAGGAGTATCCAGGAGACAAAAAGGATACGGTTAAATCCAGACATTTTCATCAGATACTTCTGAAACTCCACTCAGAATCCTGACTTCAGTGATGGGCACAGAGCATACCAGACCAAAAGATGCTCCTTTAAATAAATGTCACCTTCCTCGAAGTCTCTGTTTCTGAATAATTTCTCCAAAAATTACTTTTCATATTGTTGCCTCATGCTGCAGGAGAATTTATTCAAAAACATTGATTTGGAGGAGTCAAAAATCAACGGAAACTTCAAGATGACAATATGAAGATATTTGCAGCTTCTTCTTGAGGACAATGAGAAGACTCTCCCTCCTTTCAGTTCTCTAATCTCCAGTGAAATCAATAAGACTCTACCCAGAATATTGTCCCAAAATTGAATTCTTCACAAAGTTCTTGTATTCAAAAACAAAAAAGAAAATCACACCGAAAAGAGAGCGAGCTTTCGAATGTGACTAATGAAATGTCTTATCTTTTGCATTAATTTGCCTATTGTTCAAAGACTGAAAGTTTACTATATAACCAAAGAGATAAAACAAAGGATTAAGATTAAATAATACATCGTATATTCACCAGATACCAAAAGATGCATACAGTATGCAGCTAATGTATCTTCAGCAATTAAAAATTCAGCTATATGAATATTGCAATGATTTAAGATTTTGAATAATTAATCTCAAAGTGGCAGAAAAGATCACTATTTAAAAATAACATGCAACATGCAAGTCATGAAAAATTGATGTGCAACAGACAATCTTTAAGATTTGAGTTGCCTTTAGCAAAGTTATTAATGCTAAAAATTTCCTACCAAAATTCCAGTCATTGGAAAAAGAAATTTTATGACCTCTTCCAGCAATTCCTAATCCTCAGTTTTATTCCCTCTGAAGTATACTTGCAGGCGTGTGAACTCAAAAGAAGGGTTACATGGTATTGGTTAAATGAAACCACAAAGGAAAAAATTAAATCCTCTCAAAAACACTCCCTCTTTTTTCCATTTGCCCCTTTAGTCTCTCATTCTCTGGCACACTCCCCCTCTCAGGTTTCCCAATGAAAATAAATTCTAGATGCCTTCATGGTAGATCAGAAAAATCATCACTATAGCGACATTTTACTGCATTTGTTGCTTAACATATCCCAACAGTGTATCTAACATTTAGAATCTATCATATCAACATAGTCATCATGATCCAAGCTGCAAATAATAGAGAGTGTCAGTGTCAATTTTGCTTTCTCACACTTCCTTCCCTTCACTTCATCTGATTTTAATAATCCCTGTCAAACCACAAACAGTCCAAATTACCTTCTTGACACAGAAGCTTTCAAGGAAGAGACAGAATCTCAACTTTCATTTAGCAACTACAAAAGCAAGCTGTCCAACTGGACAAATATTATTTCCACTCTTGACAATCTCTACAGTAAAGCATGCTTTTTAATTTTAACTGAAACTGCCAAGGGTTTGAAATAAGCTTCTTCTTGTTTAGTGTAGACCGACTCACAGGATTAGCAGACCAACAACTGTAATTGTGTTTAAAGTAGTCAAGATTTGCAGCGAAAAGAGAATTGATGACAATTGCACGTTAAAGGCTAATTATAAAAGGAATTTAGAAAAAGATTCAAAATATAATTTCAAATAAGTAGATCTCAAAGTCTATTTCAAGAGCATTCTAAATTTCCATGATAGACCAAATGACTGCTACTAAAAATGTAATATAAATTAAATTATAAGGAGCAGAGAATACGTAGCTTCATCTATATGGGTGACAGTCTAAGAAAGGTTAGCATTTGACAACAGGAAATATGTTCAAGGCAAATAAGGTTCCACAAAAGGAAAATGATCTGCAATCATTTTCCTCCCCGTCGGTTTGTCTTCAAAGCAAGCTTGATAACATAGCTCGCTACTTCACATAGATCAGTTTAAAATAATTGTTTTTTTTTTCTGATGAGGCACAGTATTGTATAATTAGCATTCTATTGAAGTTTATGCAGATTAATCAAAGCATAATATATTTTTATATAAAATATTTTCTTCACAGAGACACAGCATTCTCTCTAATCATCTGGAAGTCTATTGCTCCTTATTTTTAAGTAATTAAAGTCGAAATCAGGTTTTGAAGTGTTCCTCGCTAAAAACCAGCAAAACGGAATAACCAGGATGATTCCCACCAGAAGACTTGTGTTGTAAAATATTTGTTTAAATATTTCAAATAGCCTGTCCCACGTTTAGGCCTATTAAGACTAATCAAAGCTGCTTTAAAAGATTCTATGGTAACTAGCAAGAATACATCAAAACAATAAAAGCCTATCTTTGAAATATCCTCCAAATCACAGAGAGGAGCATGCCTATGAGTTATCTAGTGTTTCACAGCAAGAGAATCACACTTCCTACTAATGATAACACAGGCCTGAGTAAGGGGCTTTTTCTTTGTTTGGTTTCAACATTTTGGGACAATGTCTGGATGTCTACAACCACCCCCTTTCATGGCCAGACACCTTCCTCCTTTCCTTCTTATTTCATTTCCTTTCTCAAAGAAGGGAAGTCAAATTCATAGAATTCATAGAAGTATAAATATACTCACTGACATGAAAGTGTATTTACCTCACACCTCTTCAACAGTAAAAGTGGCTGTCCAAAACTAAACCTTACACATATTTTACAATTACCCAGGAAGCAGGACTTTTTTTTTCCCATTACAGGAGTTTCTTACGTAACTCAGAAACCATATTTAATGTTTTTTTTCAACTAGTTGCTTAGAGCAAGCCTCCATCTTCTTATTGTATGCTTTTTATAATCTTTTCTGAATAGATTTTCTTACTTCTATGAGTTATGTTATTAGATGTTATGTCTTCGTTGCTTTGCAAGAAGTGCAAGTCACTTCTATGATGCTACAGATACAACAATCATTTCATCATAAAATAGTATTTTTAAAGAATATTTATTCATGGTATCTTTGCATTGCCACTGAAGGAAAGAAAAGAAAAGAAGGGAATAGCTATACAGAAAGGAGCTTCCTTGTTTTCAAGGATCTTTTAAATGACAGATCTCTCTCTCCACATTCTTCTCAGGAAAAGGTGCTATTCAAGTTGAGACATGCAATTTCAGATGAAGAAAAAGACACCACTTTGAAGTTCATGGTCACAGGGCAACTGAAGACTCAGGCAGCTGGCAGCTCATGAAAGACCCACAACCTGCACTTCAGGCTAAATCTATCTCTCTATACCATGGAAATGCCATGTGGGTATGAACAGGAATATTAATTTAAGGTAGCACTCCAATGGGTTCTACCATCTCTTTTGAGAAGATGCTGTGTTGGAAATTTTATTTCTAAAGTTGATGGACCCATCTGTGTTAAAAGAGGGGAGAGGGAATCGTATCAAAACATGTTTCCACAAAAGAAAATAAAACTGTCTTTGGAACCACATTAGGACAATAATTATTTTACAAAGAAGAAATAACCAGCTGTTTTGTGATGCAGAAAGGAGTTACTCTTCCCTACTGTCTTAAACAACTTCTGGAAGGGTGCTATATGAAATGCTGCAGAAAACACTTAACCTTTGGTTTCATGATTAAGAGTGCTAGTGTTCATAAATACCTTATAAAGGAATATCACCTACTGGATTACTCATTACATAACTACAAGCATCAAATGAACTGTGCAATCACCGGAGAAGAGGATATACAGTATAAGCAATGCACACTAGCTGCCTATCACCAAGAAACAACATTGAATTCAGAACAATATTGAATTCGAACTTAGGAATAAAGAAAAAAGGAATAAAAATTGTTTTCTAGGGTCACATGAACATTTTAGCAAATTTCTTTTTCCTTATATTAATCTTAAAGCATTTTACAACTTTTGTAAAGCAAAAAATTAATAAGCCATATAAGATTCAAACTGGGAACTTATATTACAATCAAGATTTTTAAGGTTCAATCTGTATTTTTTTATAATTTAACTGCCTTAAACAGAGCACAGTGGCAGCTCTGCTAGAATACTCTTCAGAAGAAAAAGTTGTGATTAAATCTATTTTTATTTTAAGTATTCTGCAGTGGACTTACCTTAGAGTTGATATTCTGTTAATCTGCAAGATAAATTATGCTTTATCTGAGCCAACGAACAGTAGGTGGTTTCAAGCCAAGTTTCCCTTCACTGGTATTCTACCAAAAGCAGCGTGGAAGATGTCAGTAGTCCAAACAAAACCTGCAGTGGAAAAAGTAGCTAATGATATGTATTCTGAGCAGGAGATAAGAGTTCAGGGATAGAAAAGGGAGGCAGCTTTCCCTGAAACAACATTCATTTTTTTTCTAGATGACCTGGTAAGAGTGACGTTACGATATTCTGGCTCATTGCTGATCTTGGGCCCTGAACACAATTCAGAACCTTTAAAACTGTAACAGACAGCAGATTCAAAAATCTATTGCTTTAATAGTTTATGATTTAGGATGGCATGGAAAGAATGACTGGATTTTTAGTATCATGATGTACTGAAGATCACTTTTCAATATTTCTTCTATCAGAGTGTGTGCCAGGAACAAACTGATTATAGCAGGACTGAGTGGGCTACATTCTTCAGCACCACCTCCACCTGCATTACCTGACAACTCACGTGTTGCTAGTGACATAGTAAGTATTGCAAACAAGTGTACCCTACTATTCACATTTTAAATAACCCACTTCTTGATTTTTGCTACTTTTTCTTGAATAAAAACTTGTAACTGTCCCAAGTTAGATTTTTGCACTGCTATCCACAGATGACAATGCAGTAATAAGAGCAGAGGAAAAGAGATTGATTGCACTGAGAAGAGTTTTACACACATTGAGAGATAGGCCACATTTGCAGACCTTTTGTTAATAAGGTCAACAGAAATTACTGGTTTTCTGTATAATACAGATGAGACTGTTCTGCAAAGACAAAACCTAGTAGGGACTGCTGCACCTAACGAAATGCACAGTTATAACACACATTTCAAAAACAGTGGTCTTAATCACTGCCACTTCTGCAGTAATCATGTATTCCTTTCTGCAAACAGATACATTGTCTGGATTTCTTCCCAAACTATACTAACACTCATCCAGATTTCTTACCTAATCATTTCTGCAGTTACAGAATATAGCCATTATTTATATGTAGTGTAACGAGATGAATTTACAAAATGATTAATCTGAATAAAGCTTAAAGTCTTTAAGAAAACCTTTAATTAATATAGCATCAATTTATTCTACATTTCACCTGTTTTCTTCAATCAGTAAAAATTCACATATATATTCTTGACTAGAGCCCATCAACATCTTCCTATAAACATTACAGGTCTCATTGAAACTCTGAAAGCATTTATAGTTTATAGCAAGGCAATTCTGCAAGACACTCAACTAACAAATACAAGTACCTACCTGTAGTCAGTATGCTCCCTGCATAACTGAATCTGTCTTCTTTTCAGTTTTAAGTTTTCAGTATTATGAGACCATTGCTTCGTCCACGTGCAGTTAACAGTTTTCCAATGGCCCTATGTAAAAAGAGAAGTGAAATTACCAATAAGTAGCATTTGAGGAATTAACAGTTTCATAGATAAAACTCCCAATTGCTCAAGTATTATATAAGATAGCTTTTACAACAGATACTTCTTAATTGCAAACGATACATAATAGCCGAGGTTCCAAAAGGTAAAAAAAAAAAAAAAAACAAAGAACAACAACTCCCCACAATATTAAGGGTCTTTATTTCAGTTGTTACTTATTCCATAGAACATAACGATTACATAATATTTCATTTTGTTGTCCCAAAGATAATGAAATAATGCACAGAAGATGGGATGGGAAATGAAGGTCATATAATGTGCCAAAATAGTGTATGGCAACTACAAGAAATGCTTAGGTAAGGTAGCTCAGCTCAGCTCAGTAGCTGTTTCTGAAGCTTTGTAGAAAAGCTTAATTGAGAATAATGTGTGTTGAGGTCACACACTGACAGGAACAAGCAGTTTAGAGAACAAAAGAGATTGCAGTTTGAGATGAGAGTTATAGGAGCTAAACATTGACTACTGCATCCACTAATGCTCCCGGATACTAATGCAAGGAACCAAATCAAGGAGCCGAAAACTAGCTTGGCAAAAAAACCCCATCGTATTAGTGTTCTGCGCCAAGCAGCCGCTCGGTACGAGCGCGTGGCCGCCCACTTCCCCAGCGGCGGGACGAGGCCGGCGTGGGCCCGCGCGGGGAGGCCGGCGTGGCGAGCGGCCGGCAGAGCGCTGACCCCTGGCAGCAGCACCAGCTCAGGCCACACGGAGCTGCCCAAGCCGTGACGGGAATCACGGGCCGCATCCAGCGCGCTTCCGCGATACGGACCTTGACAATTCACCTCCACACAAGATGTGAAGGCCTTTGGTTACACACACGCGCTCAGCTCCCAGAATATAAAAAGAAACTTTGCGTCCTGTTAATTACATTCTGTTAAATGTCAATCACATTTAACAGCCACAATGTAAAAAAAAAAATGTATGTAAGGAATAACAGGACATATCCTATTCACCAGCTTGGGTTTCATAGCATTTTTAGAAATAGTAACAAAAAAACCAATTCCTCAGTTTTACTCAGTACTCTTTACTGAGAAATGGGGTTCTTTCTGTGGAGAAGACTGGGAATTATTAGCACTTGTCAAGACTTTAGCTATGATTTTCCAGCACTGAAGTTTCCTTAACTGTTCCTCTAAAGTTCTAAAGAACCAGCAAAGGCAAGAGGAGAGGAAGTTTAAAAGGATTAGATATATACTTGACAATGAGACAACCCCTGTTCTTTGACCAACGCTTTCCCATCAGGTTTTAAACGGAGAATAAAACCCATCCTCTTTGCATTGTTTTTTCATACTTTTCTGAAAACAGAGGCTATGCAAAAAGCTGTATCAAAATTGACAGTAAGGTTGCAACTCCAACCCATAAAAGCCAAGAAATTTAAAGTTAATCTGACACTCAACCCTTAAATCAAGCAATTGTGCTTCTTTTTTAAAAAAGCAACAATGCAAGTTAATGACAAGTTGTCAGCCCTAACTTTGAATTGCCTGAAGTTTGTCATTTGGTGTTTGTGTCACAACCTTAATGTTATTTAAATGTAGTTTTTAGTATCTATTATTTAAAAAGGTCTACTTTACGACAGCAAAGAGCTTTGATGGAGTAAACCTCAAAGTACACTGCAGTGCTGGTATGCCACTTCATTAGAAGTAGTGCATAAAACATATGCTGTTGACAAATCTAATTCATTAAAGGTGAGGCAGATGCACTTTAAAACAACTGGCTGGCATCATTATCTACAGTTCCTTTTATAAATTATTCTTCTTTTCCCTTTTGACTGAACTTGTCAGTGCGCCCTTTTCAAACTGTGAATGTTTTTGCCTTAAAATTCAATACCTTCAACATGTTTGGACAAGTTAAATGAGTAGAGTATTTGCTAAAGCTGAGGTTGTAAGCAGAAACACTCACACTGATTATTTCACCTATATTAACTAATGAGGATCAAAATTAAGTAACAATGTATAAGAGTTTCAACTTCATCAAACATAAAATTTAAAAACGAAAAGGAAATTACAAAGTAGAACAGAGAACCATTTTGGCAGCTTTTTGCCGTTCAGTTGACTTGGATTTGGAACTGAATTGAATTCTGCAAGAAAGGAGATCAGGCACATCAGAGCGCTGACAGCTACCTGACACACTTAGTTTTAACAGGAAAAATTACTAACTGTATTACTCAGACTTTCGTAAGAGCCAAAATTGGTATAAGAGTTAACAGGTATAAAATTGCCCATAAGCATATTGAAGCTGGGAATTGAGGAATGGCCCTAGCCATCAGAGCAGGGAAGCGCTTGAACAGTTTTCTAACAGAAAAAAAAAAAAAAAAAAAAAAAAGAAAAAAGAATAAAGAAAAAGAGGAAAAAGAGATATAACTTGTCATAGACTACTCAAATCTTTGAATACCATTGCCTGTGTGAAAATATTTTTTTTCCTCTTCAGCTCAGGGGGAATGAAGTCCTTCCAGTTCTAGAACACTACGGTCTTTAGAAACCACATCACACAGCACGAGCTTCATTGAGTCAGTGGAAGTAACACATTGGATATAAGGCAACTGGGGTAAAAACTTGTAATCTAAGATTAATCTAACTCGTAATCTAAGATCCTTTCTGTAACATCATCTGGATTCCTTACAAAATGATGAAACGCTGTATATTCAAAAATCAGCTACAAAAATATTTTTATATAGAGACATGTACATAATACTCCATTATTGTCTTTTCTTTGCCAGACTGTTAAAGAATGTATCTTGGTTTCAAAAAAAATGTATTTGACTCCAAAAGAAGCTCTGACAACACTCTTGAGAAAATGACCTTTAGCTTGGATATTTTCTTAAAAAAAGATAAAATAGTAAATCATAAAAAGCGCTTGTTAAGTTCACAAACTTAGTAAGTAATGTAGCTACCCAGAAATTTCTTATTGTGTGAGCCACTCTCTTTGAACTCCATCCCACCTGATAAAGGGGGCTGAAAGTCTTCCCTTCCGCTGCTCCCCAACTCTGCTCCACTAGGCACCAACATCAGTTGTATTTGTTCTTACTGCAGATAAATTCCAATCAGCACGTACCTGACCAGGAGTTGCACCATCTATGCCCAAGTTCTACGCACCTACTTTTCCTAATTAAAGTCTCCTCGTTGCTCCTCATGTTGTTCCCTTAGCTCCAGCCCCTAGTAGATGCCTTCCCTGTCCTATTTGTCCAACTTTCCCACACTGCAGCAAGGGTACAGTTGACTCCAGCCATGTGGACTGTGCTGGTATCTCCACTCCCAGACACATCTCAAGGGCCACCTGGCCCCAGAATTCCTCGGTGAACTGAATTCACCATCATTACAATTCTTGTTGCTAAAAAAAAAAAAAAAAAAAAAATCCATATTCTATTGACTGTTGCTGCCTTCGGTGCTTCTTGCAAAGTCATTTTGCAGATTTTTGTACCAGGGGCCTCTGCTCCCTCTTACTACTATGAGGTGAGACCTGGGAAATGCACTTTCTATTCTGATCGGACAGTGCAGCAGCCTAACAAATCTTTGAGGGTATTTATGGGAGTGAGAAGGCAGAAAAGAGAGATAGACGAGTTGGGGTAGCAGGGGTAACATTCTTAAACACTTACATAACTATAAGCACATAAGTAAATACTTATATAGAAGAGCTATATAGAATATACAGCTATATAGAAGAGCTATGTAGAATATATATATTGATTATATAGAATGCTTTCCACAAGGAAACTTGGGCACTTTCCAGTATTTCCTCCAAACAGCCAATAAGCTCTAATAAAAACAGAGAACAATTAATACATTAAGTTCAGCCCAGTCCTGAATGCTGCTGGGAAAAAAGAAGAGGGAAAGAAAAAACATATTTTAAAACATGAAACAAATGATCTTAGTAAGATCATGCAGATTAAAAAAAAAAAAAAAAAAAAGATGAAAGGAGGAAAGGCCCTGATGATCAAGTAAAAGTTGTTGGCCATACCAGAAAGGACCTCCTGCACAGGAGAAAATAGTGAGGGGAGGAGGTGCGTTAAGCATTCCAGGCACGTAGAGCTGATCTAGGTCAGCGCAGGAGAGCAGTAACAACAATAAGAAAGAAGAGCCAAGCAGCCAGGGACTGTCAGGCAAGGACAAGGAACCGGAATTTTATATGGCAGCAAAGAGGGGTATGAAATGCAAAAGCAAACCAATCTTCTTGCCATGTATTACAAACCATAAAAAAGCCAAACTCCAAGTCATTAGCAACTAACGAAAGAGCACTAAGGAAGCTCACTTCACTAGTTCACTAAGAACTGAGCAAATGATCTAAAACTAGTGCCAAGATTGATGCAACTGCAGTTACACATAAAGCCTGCTTGGCACCACTGGCAGGAGAGCTACTGAACAGGTTAGCGAGCATCGCTCTGTGCCACCTGCACGTCTTGCTCCACACAGGTTCGGTGACTGATGTTCATGTGACCTTATCTAATGATGGTTCACTGTAATCAGAGGAATGGCCAAGATGTCAGGAGCTGGGCTTGGATCGTGCCTGGGAGCCAGGGCGCTCTGAGGGGAGAAGGAGCTCAGTCTTCATGGGGATTGGCAGAAGGCCAGGTAATTGCAAGAGGGTAAGATAGGCTGAGTTCATAATAATCCAAAATAAAAGTGATTCATACAAGACGGTTACAGGAAATAAAACCAAATGATAGCTCCTCAAAAGGCAATAAAAGGAGAAGGAGATGGTTTTGAAAATAAATATATACAATATAAAACTTTATGCTAATTGAGAACTTACATAATCAGTAAGACTAGGAGAAAAGTAAAAATTTTCACAACGCTTGTGCTGCCATTCCTATATCGGTCAGCACAAGAAAGAAATTACTAGTATGTTTACACAAGAACCATTGCTACTAAGATGAATTAACTCTTCTACCTATTCTAGCTCCAGTGGATTTTTTTTTATATTGCTTCCAATT